GGTTAGTAACCAAAATAACCAACCTTCAAAAGGTCATCGCTGAGTGCCAATAGCGAATCTAGCGTGCCCACCCGAAGATTCGGAATGTTAAACTGCAGAATTCAATAAATTCAAGGTAGTTAGCAAAATACAAATCATAAAAAGTAAATCTCGGAAAAACTCAACTATGAAATTATATAATTCTATAATATTACTCTGTAAAGGGGTGTGTCAAATGCATTTTTGGAGATGGATTCCTGAAGCCGACTCCAGAGGGCGGATGCGGAGGAGCCTTGCGCCACGGGGAGAGACACAGCCCAGTACCGAGTCGCCATTGTTACCCGCTTGATCGATTGATTGTTCAAATTGACAGAGTATATATAAAGCAGCGATGGAAATGATAAATAAAGAGAGAGAGAGAGAGAAGAAAAATAGGAAAATTTTAGAGGGAGAAACAATTATCGGAAGTCTGAAATAATTCCTTCCCTTCTGAAGATCTGATTGGGAAGATGTGCTCCGTTCCGTTTCAGTTGTACTTTTACGAAATTTCAATTTTACCACAATATTTTGGATAAATTCTATATCGCCCCATCTCTTATTATCGCCAATTAGCACTTGACCCCCTCATTGTAACTGGTTTTAGCCCCTATTTGACCCCCATTATCTGAAAATGGAAATGGGGGAATAGTATTTTTTAGAAAAATTGGTGGTTGAAAAAGAAGGAAAAATTTTCGATTTACGTGTAATATTATTTTATGGAAGATTGTGTTATTAAAAATAGGAGAGACAAAAATGGAATGTAATGTAATTTAATTTAATGGGGATCAAACGGGGGCTTAGTTTTCATAACCGAAAACGAATTACTCTAGTCTAGCAAAATAATCAAATTTAATTCGAATCGAAAAACTTACTTTTTATTCTCTCTCATTTAAATTAAATATTAAACTAATTTATATAAATGACACATTTGTAATCTCAAAGTATTGTTACATCCGTGTTTACATGACTGTCAATTAAGCAAAAAATTTCACGAGCATCAACACTCCTTTAGCATCACCCCCTCCATGTGATTCTCGTGTTCTCTCGTCCATACCCCCTACGTGATTCTCATGTGTCTCTCATCCATTCTCCTTATCTGTCATTTTCGTCTAATATTTTAAAAGCAGAACTCAAAAATCTCATCGTATAATACATTGAAGAGTTGCAGTCGCAACACTTTGTCCCATCGTCCCTCCTATGAGTTGAGGAGTGATCCAACCCAGGTCATACTAAATGGACACCTTAAGTCGAGGCAATTGAAGTCTAACTCTTGATGCATTGACTAGTTGCAATCTATAACGCCATGAGCTGTGTGTGAAAATAATTGATATTACATCTTGCGTTATTATATTTGGCATATGAACTATTGGAATGAGGTCACGAGTAAAGCATCTATAGAACCTTGTCTATAGCTCTTTGGTAAATAAATACTTGACCTTTGTGTCATTTGGAAGGTAATCTTGATTTGAAAATCTAAACTTATCTTGAATATTATGGTTCATATCCACCGAAAAAAATGAATTTTGTGTCTTTAGTGGGTGATCTCAAGTTGTAATGTGAAGATCATCCGAAAATGAAGTTTCACAATGAGGAATTCCTCTTTTCAACCATTGGTGTCTCTTGGGTGGATCCAAGTGGGATCCTCATAATAGTACTTGAAACCCCCCTTCTTTCATTTAATTAGATTATTACTTTCATATATTCATTCCTTTTATTACTTCCACGCCCATTATCGTATGTAATTAGATTAGAGTGTCGATGTGGATACCATCATTTGCCCTCGCCCCCCCTCCAGAACAATCGTATGTGCTTTCTCGTGTATTTATCTAGATGTGCAAGTAACTTTCACATTGATGAGAAAGGAGTTGACATCTGTTGACTTTCATGTTTCCACCAAATTTGGATGTCAACGAGTATAAAAGTGAAACAAGTTATTTATGAAAGTTATATCAATTTTTTATCTAATTCGATTTCATCACGATAAATTAAAATTGTTTATACCATTATCGAATTTCAATTTATATCCAATTTTATTCAGGCTCTGTTTGAGCCCAATTTTTACCTCATTAAAATGAAAAATATGATCGTTATCCGTCACATCAAACCACCATTTTTGAATTTCTATCTTTTGTGTGGGACCCATAACGGCTCTATTTTTCATTTTCATTCTACAAATAATGTGGCTCAAACGGGCTCTCAATTCGTAATTGAAATTGAATCAAACCAAATCATACACACCTGCAATCCATCTGTATTTTTAAGTATTGACTAAAAGAGTTTGTTTCGGAATGATTTTGAGAATTGATTTTTTGACCGTTATGAGAAAAGTGAGATCTACTTATGAAAGAAGAAGTCAAATATGATAGCTAAAATAATGATATAATTGTTAAAAATCAATTTTTTTGGAAAAAAAAAAAACTTCCAAACAGGCTGTAAAATACTATTACTAGTGGTGAAGTTTGCCTAATTTTAAATAGTGTAGGAGCGTAATGCAAGTACTCAAAAGTGGCTCGAAGTACATCATGAAATAAAATCCTCCCACTCTTCAAAGCGCTCAAATCACACTGTAACTTCCAGATCCTTTGTATCATTAGCTGTATAGATCCACCTGAAGAGAGACTAGAGAGAAACCCAGTTCAATTTCGTTCTAGCTTGTTATTATTTTGTTCTTAATACAGTTTGATGAGGCTTTTACATCTGGGTTTTGTAATTGCTCTGGCCTCTGGACTTGCAGCAATACTTATTTACATCACCGGTGTCTCCAATCTGGGTACAGTTTACAATTCAATAATTCTTTATTTCTATTATATAAAACATGTATTTTAACCGAACACATGTAATAGTGTATACAAATGAATGTAAATTTTGTACGTACAGATAGGTCGTTTCATATATCAAATGAAGATCTGGAAGCACTGAGATCCCTGCAGAGTCATTTCCAGCAGTGCGTGGTGAGTTTTCCTTCTGTCTTTACTCTCGTTTTTTTGGTAGTTGGAGGGATTGTATTTAAATTTGTTCGATTTGATTTTCAAGTTCATTCAAAATTTCTGAAATATAAGCAGGGATGAAATCTGGGTTCCGGGTGAATCCATAAAATGGAGTTTTCTCTTGTTGAAGTAAAGCTTGACACAATCCCGGAATTAGTTATTTGAATTAGGATTGAGCTGAACTTTAATAGAAATCTTCAATTTGTTTTCCAAGCTGCCTACTGCTTGTCTTTGGTGTGTCTCGTTTGCATTAAATTGATTTTTGAACTAAAAGAAATTTTTCCTAATCTGCATTGCTCTTTTCAACAAATTTCAATCCCATCGGGATCTTACCTTTCGTTACTAAGTGATGATAGTTCCATGGCGATGGCCAGATGCAAGATAGTTTCACACTCAAAAAAGGTTCAAAGAGCAACATTTGTGTGGGGTTGTGAATCTAAGTTGGCTACTCTGAACACAATAAGTGCAGGTGGAATTCACCCCAAATGGGAGCGCCTCTCCTGGCATAGGCCCTCGTTATTCTAACTTCCAAGCGGGTAAATGCTAGTCTGGTCACCTTTTTTGGGACTGGATGGAAATTAAACACTGCCTTAGGTGACAATACAAACGAGAAAATTATTTATTTAAGTGAGCAACAGTAGGACTCCATATTTTCAAGGAGATTTGTTATTTTACAAGTTTACAATCTAGAATATCCTAAGCATAAAGGAACTAGTTCTCATTAGATTTTTGCATCATATAATCGAGCGTGTTGCTTTGTCTAGATGTTGTTACAGTGCATTGACTAAATGGTGCTCCTTGCAGAGTGCAAATGGATTAGGTTTACAAGCTGTAAGTGGCAGGGACTACTGTGAGATTACTATGAAGTTTCCCATGGAAACAATATCAAAGTGGGTAGGTTTTTCTTTAGGTGCTTTTAATTTTCTCTTTCGGCCTTATCCCTATTCCTGATGATTTAACACATGATTCCCCTGAAAACAGAGAGATCCTAAAACTGAAGAACTTGAAGGATTGTCTTTCAATTTCAATCTATGTGAAGCAGTAGCTACATGGGAACAGGTCAGCTTCCTATCTGCAAAATTTATTAGAATATTTTCCAATTTCATGCTTAATTATTCAAGATAAAGTTATCTCGAAAACAGTTCAGCATATGATATTGTTCTTGTCATCTCGAAGGAAAAAACTTTAATATGTATCCGTTAGGAGCTTATTTTGTCATCTAATTTCTTTGAGTTAGATCATTCGTCTTTAATTGTTCATGAATCCATATTCTTTTTTTATGGAAACTACTTTACGTGCTACAATTGAGTTATTATTTAGCGAGGAACTTGCTCAGGTGCGGAATACTACGACGATACTGACGCGGGAGTACATCGATGCTTTACCAAATGGATGGGAGGAATATGCATGGCGGAGGATCAATAAGGGAGTACTTCTGTAAGTGTCTTTTATACACAAGTTTTAAAGCTAATGATTATGCAATTGTACAAGTTTATTAACCATTCAAAGAAGACGGGGAGAAACAACGAAGTAAATGCAGAAGACTAAATGCGTTGCAGATTATATTCACTTATAATTATAGCTATAACATCTGATGAAATGTTGTAAAAGCTGGAAAACGCATTATTGGACTCCACTCTATGTATTGAATTTTCGATTGCCTTCTCTAGAACAATATTAAAAATCAGCTAATCAATTGTGAGAAATTCTATTTTGCTGCATTTTCTTGAAGTGGAAGACACCTAAGTTTTAAGTTTCTTAAAGTGGAAGAACATCTATGTTTACTCGAACATCATGCTACATATTAAGAAATGAAGGCACTTTCTTTATCATTTCCTAAGTGTTGCCCACTGGAACAGGGATTGCCCTTTTGTTAGTGTACCTGTGCAAAGTGCTCACAAGCGTGCTTGTGGTTAATTTAAATGCATAAACTCAGCCTACTTGCACTCATGTCAGTTTAAAATGGATGACTTTATTGATTGATCTGATGGCAATCAGGCTAGCACTACATTAGTTCTCTGTCCATCTGTTTGGGAAGATGTGCTCCGTTCCGTTTCAGTTGTACTTTTACGAAATTTCAATTTTACCACAATATTTTGGATAAATTCTATATCGCCCCATCTCTTATTATCGCCAATTAGCACTTGACCCCCTCATTGTAACTGGTTTTAGCCCCTATTTGACCCCCATTATCTGAAAATGGAAATGGGGGAATAGTATTTTTTAGAAAAATTGGTGGTTGAAAAAGAAGGAAAAATTTTCGATTTACGTGTAATATTATTTTATGGAAGATTGTGTTATTAAAAATAGGAGAGACAAAAATGGAATGTAATGTAATTTAATTTAATGGGGATCAAACGGGGGCTTAGTTTTCATAACCGAAAACGAATTACTCTAGTCTAGCAAAATAATCAAATTTAATTCGAATCGAAAAACTTACTTTTTATTCTCTCTCATTTAAATTAAATATTAAACTAATTTATATAAATGACACATTTGTAATCTCAAAGTATTGTTACATCCGTGTTTACATGACTGTCGATTAAGCAAAAAATTTCACGAGCATCAACACTCCTTTAGCATCACCCCCTCCATGTGATTCTCGTGTTCTCTCGTCCATACCCCCTACGTGATTCTCATGTGTCTCTCATCCATTCTCCTTATCTGTCATTTTCGTCTAATATTTTAAAAGCAGAACTCAAAAATCTCATCGTATAATACATTGAAGAGTTGCAGTCGCAACACTTTGTCCCATCGTCCCTCCTATGAGTTGAGGAGTGATCCAACCCAGGTCATACTAAATGGACACCTTAAGTCGAGGCAATTGAAGTCTAACTCTTGATGCATTGACTAGTTGCAATCTATAACGCCATGAGCTGTGTGTGAAAATAATTGATATTACATCTTGCGTTATTATATTTGGCATATGAACTATTGGAATGAGGTCACGAGTAAAGCATCTATAGAACCTTGTCTATAGCTCTTTGGTAAATAAATACTTGACCTTTGTGTCATTTGGAAGGTAATCTTGATTTGAAAATCTAAACTTATCTTGAATATTATGGTTCATATCCACCGAAAAAAATGAATTTTGTGTCTTTAGTGGGTGATCTCAAGTTGTAATGTGAAGATCATCCGAAAATGAAGTTTCACAATGAGGAATTCCTCTTTTCAACCATTGGTGTCTCTTGGGTGGATCCAAGTGGGATCCTCATAATAGTACTTGAAACCCCCCTTCTTTCATTTAATTAGATTATTACTTTCATATATTCATTCCTTTTATTACTTCCACGCCCATTATCGTATGTAATTAGATTAGAGTGTCGATGTGGATACCATCATTTGCCCTCGCCCCCCCTCCAGAACAATCGTATGTGCTTTCTCGTGTATTTATCTAGATGTGCAAGTAACTTTCACATTGATGAGAAAGGAGTTGACATCTGTTGACTTTCATGTTTCCACCAAATTTGGATGTCAATGAGTATAAAAGTGAAACAAGTTATTTATGAAAGTTATATCAATTTTTTATCTAATTCGATTTCATCACGATAAATTAAAATTGTTTATACCATTATCGAATTTCAATTTATATCCAATTTTATTCAGGCTCTGTTTGAGCCCAATTTTTACCTCATTAAAATGAAAAATATGATCGTTATCCGTCACATCAAACCACTATTTTTGAATTTCTATCTCTTGTGTGGGATCCATAGCGACTCTATTTTTCATTTTCATTCTACAAATAATGTGGCTCAAACGGGCTCTCAATTCGTAATTGAAATTGAATCAAACCAAATCATACACACCTGCAATCCATCTGTATTTTTAAGTATTGACTAAAAGAGTCTGTTTCGGAGTGATTTTGAGAATTGATTTTTTGACTGTTATGAGAAAAGTGAGATCTACTTATGAAAGAAGAAGTCAAATATGATAGCTAAAATAATGATATAATTGTTAAAAATCAATTTTTTTGGAAAAAAAAAACACTTCCAAGCAGGCTGTAAAATACTATTACTAGTGGTGAAGTTTGCCTAATTTTAAATAGTGTAGGAGCGTAATGCAAGTACTCAAAAGTGG